TAGAAATTCTTATACTTTGATAAGTAAGTCTTATGCTCTGCCAAATTCTCTGTTATGATAATTAATAAAATAAGGAAGGAAGGAAACTAGAGAACTGGATGATATATATATATATATATATATATATTTATCCCTTGGGTATACCCCTTGGGTGCATTGTATCATTTGGCACTGGCTGGCTCAAAAACTTACCTCTTGGTATACTCCTTGAGTTTTTTTGGGTAAGTTCGAACCTGAAAGTCCTTTTATTCCATACATTGATTTAAAATTTTTTTTTTCTCACTAGGTATAGGTAGAGCCTCGCCATTGTATTCGATTATTATATAAATCTTCATTTATATTTATTTCAAATAATTTTTAAAATTTCTTTCCATATATTCCTAGTTTTCTTACCCCTCTTAATTCGAGTTCTTCGTTCTACAGTTTTTAACCCCGCAGTCTCGTACGCACAAATCAGAACATTTTGAATGCAATTCTCTCATTTTCTCGTCTATCTGAGCTACTCCTACTTTCGTTTTAGAACATTCATTTCTAATCTTATCTAACCTAATATGTCCATACAACCATCTTAACATTCCCATTTCCACTACTTACTTTTTCAGAGTTTTTTTTTTTTTTTTCAGATTTAGTAATCCAACACTCAAATCTACAAAGCATCATCGATAAGAAAATAGTCGAGTCCCCACGGACCTTGTCGTGGGTAATTTTTCCTTCGCCGCCGTGGGTAACTAAAATCACCCACGAATCATCCACGGAATAAATGACGTGGCTATATGATCCATGGGTAATGTTACCCACGGCTATTTGATATCCGTAGGTAATATACCCACAGATTTTTCCGTATGAACATCCGTGGGTGAATCCTCTGAGGGAGACTGATGAAACCCATGATTTTTCCACGATACCTTCGTGGGTAATCTATGGCTAATTTTTAACTGTGGATAAATAAAATTTTGATTAAGTTATCTTGGGTAAGCCATTCCATAGGTATTATATGAGAAATTTTCAACCATAATGTTAATAGTGTTTGTGGGTATATATATATATATATATATATATATATATATATATATATATTAGTTCTCCCCCATTCTTCCCCTAAACCTTCTATTATAAAGTCAAACAATAACGTCAAGATACTGTGGAACAATTTTCCATTAGTCACCAAAACTTACATGTATATTACTACATTTCTAATGCTTCAACTTGGAAGCCACAGCAACAAAAGCAATTTCACTGGGGAGCAGCAATAGTTGGCTAGTTCCATCACCGTTTTGTTGAGTAATTCCACCTTTGACATGGATGATGAAGAACCAATTCCATGCACCTTGTTTTCGCCAAGAGAGAGAGAGGAAAAAGACTTAGTCTCACCCTAGTTACATCACAACACAGTATGATATAAACCAGCAACAATCGACAAGCAAATCATAAGTAATACTTTTAATGGAAGTATATAAATTTAGCTCACACTACTAACTTTTACCAATAGCTTATGGAACAGAGCTGATTGATATGTATATACTCCTCTTAAGTAGTCATAGTCTCAAGGAAACAAACCCCGAATAGAAATACAATGATGCTGATCAATATCCCACACCATCCCTAGACCAGCAAAAGCAGGAACATCTATGGATAGGACTACTGTTTGATACTTTGTTCTTCCAACTAAAGAGACTCAGCCTTGCAAGCATGACAAGACACTTGAAATTTTAATAACATAAACCATAACGTCACAAGGACCGAAAGTTTGCATTTCAACAGAAAGTTCCAATTGAATAAATTAGACATTGTCACCTAATATCTCATCAACAACAGGAGGATGAAAAAAACAGCGCTTACCCATCACGATGTCTCTTCTGCTTTGTTCCACGAACGTCATCAACCACCTGTTTCGGCAACCACAAAAGAAAAGAAGAGAAAAATATTAGTATTGCCCATGCGTTAGTTTTCCTCACATATGGTTAAGTAGCTAACCAAAAATAAGTACAATAAACCAGAGTTTTAATCATTCATGTCTTACAGTCCAAAAGCTAAAGAACAGGGGAAAACTAAACAACAATCATTCATCACATCACCAACCGACTAGAACTTTCAATCAAAAATTTAAATTGTAACTCATGATTCCAAAATCCCAAAAGCAAAAATTCGTGCAAAAATAATTAATTGCAGCTCAATGCCACAAAGATCGATAATCAAGACTCAGAAGGATAATGCAAATTACCTTCTTTCTTTGTTTTTTTTTTTTCCTTTCCGCCCTCTTAGCAGTCCCTTTTCATCTTCCAGAATCCTCAGAATACTTCCTCCGTGATTCTTTGCATACCATCTACAGAGATTTGAAATTTTGAGAGCCAGCAACAACGGAGTTCGTGATAAAACCTATACATTCAGCGAGTATTTACTGAATAACACTATAAAATACTACTTATAGATTACAAGAGATGTATCTTTAGATTAAATGGGATCAAATCCTTTGGATTGAATATAGACACTCAAATATGAAATTTCAATTTCAGAAGAAAAACAAGACTTGGATTTCAACTTTGGACGAAATTTAAGAAAAATTTAACACCGTGTCTTACGAACCGTAATATCTGACATGCACCTTTGATAGTCAAGAAACAATCCATGAAAAGAAATCAGTAAACAAGATTCCACAGCCATTTAAGTAAAACCATTCAAAAACCAGTCATGATAATATATTTCTATAATATATTTCTTAAAATTCAAGATTCATCGACCCAAATTCAAAATAGTTTTTAGAGCTGAATATAACTCTGTTTTGCCGTGAAAACTAACAGCAACCTCATAGATCAAACAAGAGAACTCTTAAAAGAAATCATTGAAAAAGACAGCAACCAGGAAAAATGAAGCATACAAACACAGCAGCAGTTCTGAATTTTCCAGGACACTAGTTCTTTGATACCATTTTTATAACTATTTTCAGAGGCGACCAAAGATCCGTTTAAGGATCCATAAAGTTCAGCGCAAACCTTGATCAGAAGAGCTCATATATGCATCAAAAAATCAATTGAACCAACAACATAGCATAGAAAACAGGCTATACAAAACAGTATCTCAAGAACAAAATTTGACAAAACCGAAACACAACTTGCTTTCTCTTTCATGAAAACCATACATTTAATTCATTGATGCATATCAACTCCAAAAGATTTGTCCCACAGCAAGTTCAAGTAGTAAATCAAACAGCAACAACACATGAATCTAGCACATATGCAAATACTAATGTAGTACCATCATGTGTGTATCTGTGTGTGTGCATAAACTCTAAATGCTTGAAAGATAATGGCATTGGTTGAGCCATGGAAGGTTTAAAATGCTGCAAAGGTGGAGGTGCTGATTTCACATCCCATTGAAATTGATATACTTAAATTTTACCTATTTATTATATCCCTTCATGTGAGATATTGCTAATATTTTGAGTACAAATATGTTATTTATGTGATTTATCTTTGATTGTAAGAATTGTACTCAAATGAAGAATTGTTGAAGTTTTGAGCTAAAATCGAATTAAAAGCAACTCAATGGGAAAGAATTGAAGATTGGAGCAATTGATGGGGAAAAAATTAATGAGTTTAGAGAATTAGAGGGCCGATGATGCAATTTTAAAATTCTTGTTTATAGAAATTGGCCGAGAGCTTAAGGTTGTGCGGTTGATTTGGGATTGGAATTGGTTAAGAATTTTAATCCTAATATTATTTGGGAAACAAGTTTTCTTCCTCTCCAAGAATTAGGGTTTTGACGAAAACCTATAAAAAGAGGATTAGGAATTTATTTTTACAACCGAACTTGCCCGAAAACCAAAACCAAAACTTGACCAAAGCCGCTGCAACTTTCTTCTGCCGAACCACCTCCTTGGCCTTCAACCACAAAACCACCTCGGCAGCCCCCTTCTTGAGTTCCTTTTAATTTTATTTTAATTAAAAATCTGAGATCATCATTTATCTAGATAATAATATGAGTAATTTATACCTGGTAATTAGTATTTCTTCTCTGTAGGTACGACTCTATTTTCCGCTATACTAGTGTTAAGTAGGTAAATTTATTTGACTAGTTGTGACGACGGCTTGTCAGAAATGTAAAAAAAATCACAAGAGACAAAACTCTACTTTCTCTACTCATTGCAAACTAGAACGTTAAAAAGCCCTCAACAAAGTAGAAAACAAAGTTGGGCCTAAGTTTGCTGCACCTGCTTTAGTTAGTCCTTGTTTTTCTCAACTTCATGTTCTTAAATTGGTAAGTTGACCACCCTTGGCTTTCCTCTCCCGTAACTACACAAAATTTTGGGAACATTAATCATCAATCTAATTTAGGAAAACTCAGCAATCAAAATCTCATAACAAACACAATTAAAGAAACTCTAAACAATACAACACACTTGATAAGGCAAGAGAAGGGACAACTCTTACACTACGGTTGAGTCCTTCAAGCACGGCCACCGGATCTAAAACTCTAGACAGAAGATAAAACTCTTCCATGATAGCTCTTTCTTCAATCAGATCTGAGTAACACCGAACATAAATGATGTCCTACGAATCAAAAACAATAAGAAGCATCAAAATCATAGTCAAACATCTAAAATCATCCATGAAATTGGAGGGGAAAAAAACAAAATTAGGGTTGTTCTCAATCGTCAGCACCTAAGGATCACTGTAATGTGTAATAGCTTGCACAATCGCCCTTACTCTCCTAGCCGGATCTCTACTCTTGAACCACCCTGAGCCAACGAACAAGCCGTCGCATCCCAATTGCATCATCAGCGCCGCATCAGCCAGAGTAGCGACTTCATCGGTCTCCACCGCAGCAGATCTACCATTTTCATTTGATCGACCCATTTTTTTTGCCAATGAGCAAATCGAATGCGCTCATACAAAGATAGGAGAGAGAGAGGAGTGAGAAGATGCTATTGGTGCACGTTAGCAAACTGCTATCGTGAGCCGAACCAAATTATCACCGTGAAACACTTTCCTCATCCCTTCTCCATGGCACTCACCGATCAAAAACAACCACCAACCCAATACCCAATCCCTAATCACCAGCAAACAAAAATTCTGATCCCTCAAGCTCCTCATGGGCACAACGTGTTGCAAATAATTGTAGTCGGGCAGCTGGGCTAGATCTACAATTCTACCACAACAATTCTCAGCCAACGAAGTGCAGATTGAAGATGAAGAATGGAATGCGGGAATCCAAGAGTGGGAACACTGCCTAGTGGGATTTGTCTATGGTGATAAGCCAGATATTAATAAGATACAAAGGCATGTCAAGAATTTTTGGGGCAATGAAGAAACTGTTACTGCTCATTTGATTGAAAAAGGGATTTTTCTTTTCAAATTCGGAAACAAAGAGAAGATGAATGAGATCTTAGAATCCGGTCCTTGGAGTTACTATAGCATCCCACTAATCTTACAACCATGGACTCCAGAAATGGATATTGAACCTTACAAGATTTCAAAATTTCCCATTTGGGTTAAGCTGCCACTACTAAAATTGCATCTCTGGTCTAAATCTATCTTGAGTAAAATCGCTAGTGTGATTGGAAAACCAATCTGCACTGATGGTGTTACAGCAACACAGGGAAGACTTGGTTTTGCCCGATTTTGTGTTAAAATTGAGCCAAATAGTGAACTTCCTGATATCATCACATTAAAAGGCCCAGGGGGTGTCTCGATTGTTCAAAAGGTGGAATATGAATGATGTTCTAGCAAGATGCTCATACTGTCAATGTTTTGGACATGGTTCCGGAAATTGCAGGTCAAAACCCAAACAACAATGGATACCGAAGCAACAAGAGAATATCAGTCCAGTGAAAGATGACATTCCTCAACAGTCTACACAGAGCAACACAGAAACACGAGGCAAGCAGAATGAGATTGTCCCACAAAATCAAAATAAACAGGCTGAGAATGCACCAGTGACGATATTGAAAGAAAAACTGGCATCTAATCCAGTTGTTTTGAAAGGCCTACAAACGTCAGAGATCCAGGTGACAGAGATTACACTATCAACCAGTGGCTTAACTCAACCGGGCACAGGTGATGATGAGGAAATTGGTCGATTGGAAAAGAACTCTTTCAATCCACTAGCGCAGGAAACAAAAAGTGGCTTAACTCAACCGGGCATAGGTGATGATGAGAAAATCGGTCGATTGGAAAAGAATCCCCTCAATCCACCGGTGCAGGAAACAAAAGCCCCAGTACTTAGCATCAGGGGAGTAAGAAGTCAGAGAAAGCCGAAAGCAAAGAGAGGTACCTCCCATTCTTAAACCCATTTTTGTTATATTTTTAATGAAGATTGCAAGTTGGAATATTAGGGGTCTAAATTATCCTAAAAAACAGTTTGAAATCAGAAACTTTATTTCTGCTAATATGTTAGATATTGTAGCTGTGCTTGAGACTAAAGTTAATATAAGACAAGATTAACTCTTTCACTGATCGATGCTGTAAAAAGCCTCTATGGAATTTTGTACATAATTTTGACCTATCGCCGCGTAATAGGATTCTCATTTTGTGAAAACTGTAATAAAGTAACTCTAGAAGTTATGCAGAAAAGTGATCAGTACATCTATTGTAATATTACGTCTGGGAGCCACCAACTCCTTGCTTCCTTCGTATATGCTTCTAATTCCAGATTGGAAAGAGCTACTCTGTGGTCTGACTTATCAAAGTTATCTGCATCAATCAACTCAGAATGGACTCTGTTAGGGGATTTTAACTGCATTGTCTCTGTCTCTGAAAGACAAAATGGCAGATCAGTAACATTCAATGATACAATGGAGCTACAGTCTTTAATGGCAACTCACCACCTCACGGATATGCCGTATTCAGGGAATTTCTTCACATGGTCCAACAAGCATCAAAATGGCCAACGAATGTGCTCAAAATTGGATAGAATTATGGTGAATAGCTGCTGGATGTCCACTCTACAGTCTCAAGCTACCTTCCTTTCCCCGGGGATCTCTGATCACTCTCCTGGCGTAGCTGAACTACTACCCCAAAGAAGAGCTCACCCTCCATTCAGATTCTGTAATTTTTGGACAAAAGAAGATGACTTCAGGTCTACGGTGTCTAGTGCATGGTCTGAAAACCCTCCTCCATCTGATTTATATGACCTCCAGAGGAGTTTGAAGAGCTTCAAACAAAAATGCAGAGACAAATATGGGAAAATGACGAAGTCCTTGGCTCAAAGAATCAATACCTCCAGAAATATGCTGCATGATGTCCAAAATGCATTATTCCAATCCCCTTCTGATCAAGGGCTGAGGGAACAAGAGGCACGAATGTCGGCTGAGCTAAACAAACTCGTAGGATGCGAACTGCTATTTTTGAAGCAACGAGCTGCAGTGAAATGGAACTTAGAAGGGGATCAAAACTCTGCATACTTCCATGCTTGCCTACGACAGAGAAGAGCTTTGGGCACTATTAACAGCTTAAATGATAGACAAGGAAACAGGCTGAAGGATCCAATAGAAATCAAAGCTGAGATTTTAGATTTTTCCAAGCAACTCCTTGGAGCTGGCACAATGACAGATCAACTGGATCCAACTATAGCCACCAGCCGGCCTCTAGTATCTCTTCAGCAATGTATTGAGTTGTGCAAACCAATCAAGGATGAAGAAATCAAACAAGCTCTTTTCCGGATTTCCAACAATTCGCACCGGGACCAGATGGATTAGGAGCTTTGGCTTTGAAGCAGTCTTGGAATGTTATTGGCCCTGACTTTACGGGAGCAATCAAGGACTTCTTTTATTCATATAAGCTGCCACATGGAATGAATGCTACTGCCATTACACTAGTACCAAAAACCCCTTGTCCGAATACTGCTACAGATTTTTGACCAATCTCTTGCTGCAATGTAGCGTACAAGTGCTTAACTAATGTCATTACAGCTAGACTGAAGACGGTGATAGGAGATATTGTAGGAGAAGAGTAAGGTGCCTTTATATCTGACAGAAGTATTATACATAATATACTTCTGGCACAGGAGCTGGTTCAAATATATGGTCGTAGCAATGCTAGCCCTAGAGTTGCTTTGAAAGTTGATCTTCAAAAAGCATATGACTCGGTTTCTTGGAGATTTTTGGAGGATGTTCTATTCAACTTTGGCTTCCCCATCAGATTCATTAAATGGATCATGACTTGTGTAACCACAGCCCAATTTTCAGTAATAGTCAATGGCGAGCTCACTGGATATTTTCTTGGAAAAAGAGGAATTCGACAAGGTGATCCAATGTCACCCTATCTGTTAACCCTTGTTATGGAATGCTTGTCCAGATCACTAAGATTGATGTCTCAGGATAAGGAATTCAGATTTCACCCGAAGTGTCATAGAACCAAGCTTACTCACTTGGCATATGCTGATGACCGATTTATATTCTCCTGATTAATAGGAGTTTTAAACACTTTGCTGCTGTATCAGGGCTTATATCAAATGTCTCTAAGAGCTCCTTATACTTTGGAGGGACTCCTATGAATGTGAGAACATCTATCAGCAACTTGTTGAGATCCAAGGAAGAAAATCTACCAGTGAGATATCTTGGCGTGCCTCTTAATTCCAGATCCCTATCTGTCATAGATTGCCAAGCACTCATTGAAAATATTACTGAGAAAAAAATGAATTGGACCACAAGATTTCTTTCTTATGCAGGTCGTCTCACTTTAGTGAAAGCAGTACTTCAAAGCCTGCATAATTATTGGTGCAGAATCTTTATTCTTCCAAAGAAGGTAATCAAAAGTATAGATGCTCTATGTAGATCCTTTCTGTGGTCAGGAAGCTCAGACAGCAAGAAAGCCTCGGTGGCATGGGCTGAAGTTTGTAAGCCGTTAACATCAGGGGGCTTAGGTATTAAAGTATCCACGCTGGTAAATAGCTCCTTGATGTTGAAACTCATATGGGACATACATCACAAACAGAGTTCGTGGGTAAAATGGCTCCATGAATACTACACCAAGGAGGGATCTTTTTGGGAGCTTGAAGTGAAACAATCCACCTCTTGGACAATGAAGAAGTTGCTGAAAATGAGACAAGTGGCACTAACTTGTGTTAATGTCACACCTGAGGGGATCGAATGGATGGGGTCAGGCGCACCTTTCTCTGCAGATGGAGCATACCAAACATTAAGCCAACAGTATCAAAGGTACCCGTTATATACCATGTGTTGGGGCAAATTCATAGTCCCAAAACATGGCTTCATTACTTGGTTGGCATGTTTAGGCAAACTGAAAACAAGAGCTAGCATTGCCAAGTATGATCCGACAATTGATAGTAGATGTCCCTTACGCTTGATGGAGGAGGAAACGGTAAAACACCTATTCTTTCAGTGCCTGATATCTATTCAAATAATCACTAAGGCTATGGAGCTAGTTGAGGCAGAAATTCAAACACTACATTTGGAGGAGATATTGAGAAAATATGGTTCAAGTACAACAAGAGATGGAATAACCAGAGGGGTGGCGGCTTCAGCAATCTACCATATTTGGGAAATGAGAAATAATGCTATTTTCCGACAAAAAAGACTGGTTGTAAGTGAGCTTATGCAGAATATTTCATTCTCTTGAAGATGAATTTGTCCAAATTGCCAAGATGAAGAACACTAGGAAAAATAGAAGATGGTGCAGCATGATGAAAATTACTCCCCAGTTCGTATAACACTTGAAGAATCTTTTGATATATGTGGCGATCATTTTGTAACTATCTCTAATTATATAGTTAGAGTTTTGTAAGTCTTATAAGATATATTTAGGAACAGAGGATGTGCGTACTTCATGAAAATTCGACTTTCATCCAAAAAAAAAAAAAAAATTCGAATGCGCTCGAAAGAAACAATTGACTATAGATCTACGAAACACCTAACCTATCACTCTCTTGTTGTCAAGTGGAAGAAAAGATTAGCTCCGATTAATCCATGGAGGAGAGGAGAGCAAGAGATGGTAGAGTTGTGGACAGGGGAAAAATATGGTAAAGTGTTAGAATTTTGGGTATATTTTATGCAATGATTGTAATAAAATAAATGGTCTGGTTTTGGTTAGGCGGGCTTTCCCCGCCCCCCAATTTTGGCGAAAAAAATCTCCCTCCAACAAAATAAATTCACACTGACCCATGATAATTTTCTTAATAACATTTTTAAAGTGTTAGTATTTGCTTTATTTTTAATGGAACTCTCTTATAAGTGGAAAAAGTTAAAGCCAAAGGGATTTCAAAATTAGTACGTGGTTACCATATTTCAATAACACCTGATTATTTATTAGTATACAAGTTTTATGAACATTTGCTTTAGATATCATTATTTTAAAATTTCACATTTCACAAATTTGAATGATTAATATAGAAGTAATGAGTTCAAATTTATGATTATGTACAATGTGAGGGAAATTTATAAAAATCATTTTTCTCTTATAGTATAGCGTGTTTAAATTAGATGTTACATCGTGAATCTTGACATTTTTAAAAAACTAAAAGTATGATTTGTGATTTTAGGAAATCTGAATTTATTATAAAATATTTAAAATAAACTTGAGCCAAATATAAGATGGTTTTTAGGTTTGGTAGTTGTTTGTTATTACATTTTTGTGAACATTTCTTTAAAATAATTACACATATCTATATTGCTTAAGAATTGATTGAAATAATGAAACGTGATATGTACGGTGAAAATAAAAGGTAAAATAGGGTAGTGATTGATTTGACCAATTGTATGAACACATAAGTAACTACTCTCTACTATATCGTATTTTTTTAAAAGAGTGATCCGCTGTTTCTGTTCTCAATAATAAATCTTTTTTTCTATAAAATTTTATTTACTATCATTGTTGTAACTATATGATAGATGTTCAAAAGTATTAGATTATAGGACAATAAGCTTATTCAATATATTATCACTCGCATTACACTAATAGTTCTAATATTGTGTCATACAATGTAAACTTAATAAATCACCGCATACAAATATGTCTTAAGTCAATAATAATATTGTATTAATTTGCTTGTGATTATATATTGATAATAAGGTTATTATTAGCTTTTGGTGTGTGTGACTATCCTCATAGAAGGACCTTTGTTTTAAATGCTATATTTTACGGGGTTAAATCGTAAATATTATGATGTCTCACTAACATTAGTTTATGATTATTGTTTAGAAATGTTATAAATTTATGGGGCCAATTTAAAAATATTAGGGTCTTACTATGATTATTCAAAGATGTGCTACCTAAATTGTCATACTATTGAATTGGGCCAAGCCCAAAAATGTCAATGTTTACAATTTGACCCAAAAATAGAAGTTACTATGAAGCCCAATTACATTTATCAACATTTAATTTATATCTATATATCTATTAGTGATGTCTGGTCGCGCATTAGCCCATTAAATCTGTAGATCTTAGAAATGTTTGTATTTGAAAAAAAATATTTTGCATTTGGCCCGATACATTTTCGAAATGTTTGAAGAATTTAGAAATGTTTTATAAGTGTGATCATAGAAATGTTTGTATTTGGCAAAAAAAAAAAAAAAAAGTGTATTTGGCCCAGTAAGTTTTAGAAATGTTTGAATATTTTAAAAATATTTTATAAGTGTTACTTATTAAATATAAATAAACTTGATCAAGTATATCTCTTGAAGTAAATGTTAGACAAAATATAAAAGCATCCTAATAAGTTTAAATATTAGTAAGATGATTTATTGATGTTCTCCATTTGCCATGCCAAATCAATACTTGGTTTTGGAGATTTATAATAGCTTTGTAGTAAACTTCCTCCAAAGGGTATACGTTTAATTGTTGGAACGGTTTCTTCCAAAGGCTTATAGCTAGTAAAATATCAAAAATATGATTTTGAAACTGATTAATTGTTGAGACTGGTTGATCACAAATATGAGAATGAAAATTAATGTAAATTTACATAGGTTTCAAGTTATAGCAAAAAAGAACTCACCTCACCATGGCAAATAAAAAAAATAAGTAAAAGAGTCCATTAAAAATTGAGAAATTTTTTTTCCTGTAGGTAAAAATGATGTATAAAATACAAATAAACGTAGAAACATCATTCCTTCCCTCTCCACCTCAAATTCATAAAAGGTTTCCCCATAAATTAGTTAGAAGTAGAGACCTGAACCATTTATATGATGAGTAATTTAAAAAAGTCCAAAAACCAAATACACAAAAATATATTCTTGAAAGTCCGAACACAAAAAAAAAACGCGCTTCATTTGCAAAAATAATAATAGTAGTAATAATAATAATAATAATAATAATAATAATAATAATAATTGGTCAACTGGGAGTATGAAACAAAAT